AGTATCCGGCAGCTGGGGGTCGTCCGCCAGCAGCGCCGCCAGCAAGGCGGGCCGCTGGCGCATGACCTGGAAGCGATCCGAATGCCCCCCGTCTGCCCCGCGCCCGTGCGGGGCCCCTCGGGAGGAAGGAGGAGGAGGAGGAGGAGGAGGAGACGGAGGAGGGGGAGGAGGAAGGGGAGGAGGAGGAGGAGGAGGGGGAGGCGGAGGATGAGGAGGAGGAGCCAAAGGAGGAGCAGGAGAGGGAAGAGGAGGAGGATGAGGATGAGGAGGAGGAGGAGAAGGAGGATGAAGAGGAGGAGGAGGAGGAGGAGGAGGAGGAGGAGGAGGAGGGGGGAGGGAGGGAGGGAGGAGGGGAGGAGGAGGAGCAAATAGAGGAGGAGCAAATCGAGGAGGAGCATGAGGAGGAGGAGGAGGAGGAGGAGGAGGAGGAGGAGGAGGAGGAGGAGGAGGAGGCGGAGTCGGAGACTGTGGCCCCCAATATTCCAGGGCGGCTCCGTGTCCAGGGGCTCTGGGTCTAAAGCCCGCCAGGCGGCCATGCGGGTCTGGATCAATAGCAGCTGCACCTCCAGAAGAAACACGTACAAGCCTTGGGGCACGAGCTCGCAAGAGGGGGGGACTGGTGGCCAAGCGTCCATCAGCGCGCGCGCAGCTCGTCTCGTGCCCTGAGGCCACGGTCCTGGCCGAGTTGGGGGCCCAGCACCCACGCAGCTGGACTGCAGCGAGACCCGCGCAACTGGCGCTGGGAACAGGGGCGCCCAGAGGGACTGCTACAAGAACGCCAGCGGCTACCATGGCAGCTGCTCCTCTGGTGTCAGACACCGGAACTGCAACCACCGCGCCTACAACTACCACGACAACTACAGCTACGAGGACCACGCTTACGCCGACACCAACGCCAGCGCCTACACCGAGGAGGACAGCACAGCACAGGCCGCATCGGTGCAGCAACCCTGATGTCTGTCAAGTCGCCCTGTGCAAGGGAGGGGGGGGCGCAACTGGGGGGCCTCTTGGGAGCCTGTCTTGAGCGCATCTTGGGAACCTCTGGGAGCGAAGCTTCTTGGGAGCCTGTAGGGCCTCTTGGGGGCCTCTTTCGCGTTTCCTGGGGGTCTTCTAGGAGCCTCTGGGGGCCTTCTGGGGGCCTCTGGGGGATCTGTTGGGAGCTTGCTGGCCACCTGAGACAGCGGTGCAAAATGGACTGGCCTCGCCAGCCAATCCTCCCTGCGCGAGGGGGGCCTGTTGGCAGAAGCCTGCTTCCAGCGGGCCAGGGCATCGCTCACGAGACGTTCCGTCCTTTTACCGCCGCCGCCCCTGCTGACTGCTAGATCAGCCTGTGCTGGGGTGGGGAGGGGCGTCCTGCTACTGCGGCGAATTCTCGCCATAGACAACAAGAAGGGGGCCTTCGACATGTCGGGCGGCCAAGTCACCGTGCGACACTCAGCCGCCGAAGCCACCCAGGAGGCAGTGGACCGACTCCACGGCACCAAATTGTGGAACCAGGTGTTCAATGTCATCATCGTGCGTCGCAGTGAAGGTAAGGGCGAGAACGCCGACACAGAGCCAGACAGTGCCCACCTACCTGAGACAGCAACGGGACACTCAATAGCGCAGCAGCTCCTGATGGCTGCCAAGTCGTCCTGCCGCTGATCCTGGCACGGCGCTGCCCAGCGACCAGACCAGACCCAGCAAACACGCCCCGAAGAGAGCCGGCAGGAGCGCCAGGAAGGCTGAGGTGGAGGAGGCGAGGCTGGCCGACGAACTGACCCCCGGCCGAGATCGACGCCGTGACGGAGAACAGCACCGACCTGCCAGCGGACCTGGCGCGCGACACGCCAATCATCGGCACTGCGGGGACGCGACACCCTGAGGCCCGACAAGCTGCGGTGATGGGTGGGCAGACCCACGGGCGTAGGCCCATCTCCCTGGGGGGGGGGCATACGCCTTGGTTCTTCCCATCTTCCACCCCGCGACGACGACGACAATGACGACGAGGACGACGACGACGACGACGACGACGACGACGACGACGACGACGACGACGACGACGACGACGACGACGACGACGACGATGCGACGAAACAGACTGATCTTACGTGCGATGATATAGCGACCTTACGCCGCGGCTTGCGCGGGCCGCCACCGTGGCACGCTGCAATGGAAACGAGTGCGCTTACGCGCCGCCTTACGCGGGAAGCCGGCGGGAAGCTTACGCGCCGCGAAATTCGGCACGATCGATCGGACCCGTTTTTCCCATCTTTCTGCGCTGCTCGTTTCCCCCACCCCAACCGCCCCACAGACGAGGGGAGGGAGGCGTGAATTGTGTTTGTATTTGTATAGGTGACATTCGGCCCATCCTGCTACGGTGCCTGGGCTGTGGCTCAGAAGCCTCTTGGATGTGCGATGGGATCTCGTGAGAAGCGTCGTTGGGGCCTGGGGCCTTCCCGAGGCAGCTTGGCGGCCTCTGGGGGGCTGTTTGGGGGCCTCTTGGGGCTTCTTTGGGGGCTCTAGGGGGTCTCGTGGGGGCGCCTCGTGGAGCCCCTGGAGGGCCTCTTGGGCCGCCCTGCCACCAGAAGGCCCTCGCGGACCGAGGCCCACCTCGCTTCCAAAGCACGCCCCGCCTCCCTCGGCCTCTCGCCGAGCGCTGCACCGGCAGCCGAGAGCCGAAGAGCGGGCCCACCGCGGGCGGGGGGGCCCGCCCGCCTGGCCCGCCCATGAGGGTCCGCCCGCCCGACCCGCCCATTATAAACCCTCCTCCCCTCCTCCTCCTCTCCTCCTCCTCCTCTCCTCCCCTCCTCCCCTCCTCCTCCTCTCCTCCTCCTCCTCCTCCTCCCCTCCTCCTCCTCCCTCCTCCTCCTCCCTCCTCCCGCCCGACCCCCGCCCGTTGGTTTAGCGTCGTTGTCTTCGATGTCGTCGCCGTCGTCTTCGATGTCCTCGTCGTCGTCGACGTCGTCGTCGCCTTCGTCGTCGTCGTCGTCGTCGTCGTCGCCTTCGCGCCTTCGTCGTCGTCGTCGTCGTCGTCGTCGTCGTCGTCGTCGTCGTCGTCGTCGACGTCCTGGTCGTCGAGGCTCACCTCCTGTTGGCGGCGCGCAGAGGGGGGTAGGGGAGGGGGGAAGGCTTCTTAGAAGGAGGCTGTTTCGTAGAAGGCGCGGGCCCTACATCTACAGAGAAGGCCCGTGCCTTCTAAAAAGCAGGGGTGCTTCTAAGAAGCCTTCCCCCCTCTCCCTGCCCCTCTTCGCGTGGCCGACAAAAAGCACCGATACCGCCACTCCCCGGCTTCTCCCGGGGTGCGTCCCGACCAGGACTCCGAGGCGAACCCAGCGGTGGCGACGAGGGCCTCCCGGGAGGCCCCAAAAGGAGGAGCCCCCAGAGAAAGGCAGCGGTATGGGCACCCCTCGGCGGTGGACAAACCTCCCTTTAGTAAACCACCCTTTAGTGAAAACGGCCTAGGACCGAAATCGACGGACCTGGACCCGCAAAAATAACGGCCGCGACGCCCTCTCGCGAACCGACAACGGCCAATTCACTAAGTCGACGAGTCGGGGTAGAAGGCCTACCCACCTCCGAACCCCCTCCTCCTCCTCCGAGCATGCCCCCCCTCCTGCGCGTGGCGCGCCTGCCCCCCCTCCCCGCTCGCCAGCGCCCGCCGCGGATCCCGCCCGACCAGCCTCGCTCCCGCGGGACCCCCGGCGCGCGCGGAGCGCGCCCGCCCAGCCCGCAGGCGTGCCGCGGCGCTCCCCGCCGCCCCCCGGGGCAGGGCACCCTCGCTCGCACGACGGGCCCGCGCGCGTGCTCAGAGAAAGGGGCCTTGGGACACACAAGATAAATACATACACACACACATAAGAGGATTTCCCACATTTCTCACTTTTTTTTTTGATCTTCGTCTTCCCCCCCACCGCCCTGGGACACACAGATAAATACACACAAATAAGAGGATTCCCCATACTTCTCCCTATTTTTTGGATCTTCGTCTTCCCCCCCACACCTCCCATATTTTCCCATCTTTTCTGGGGGATCGACGATTCATTGTGTCTGTGTGTTTTCCCCTCCCGATCAGAGTCACGAGGAGCTTGATCGGTGGCGAGCGAGGGGGGGGGGGGAAAGTGAGAAAGAGAAGGCCTCCTCGGAGGGCGGCAGGGCCTCTCAGAAGCGCCCTCGGCCTTCCGAGAAGTTTTCTCTGTGCCCTCTGGGGAAGGCCCAGAAGACTTCTCTCAGAAGGCCGGGGGACTTCCGAGCCTTCTGAGAAGGCCCGCCCCCTCTCACTTCCCCGCCGGGCTGGCCGCCGATTTTTGTTTGAACCCCCATCCAAAACAACTTCACTCCAGGCGTTTTCTTAAACAGCAGTCCAGGTCCAGATCTGGATACCCTACTCCATGAAAACACCCTGGGTCCAGTCCAGATTCTGGGTGTGTTCTTAAGCGACATCTGGGTTCATGTAAAGTTGATGCATCTTTCCTGGAGATTTCTGTTGGGTGTTAGCAGGGGGGGCGAGGGAGACAGGACAGGAAGACGAGACACGCGGAACGACTCTCTGACCATAGGGCCGCCGATGCTGCTGCTGCCGACGCTCCCAGAGCACCCTCTGTTCCTCCCTCTCCCCCTCTGCCCCCTCTTCCCTGCCCCTTCCTATCTTGTCCTCCCCGTGTGGTGCTCTAAGGGTGTTCCGAACGTGCTGGCGACCCTCCCCCTCCTTCTCCGCTTTCCGCTCCTCCGGTGAGGGCCCCAGCAGGACCCCCCGCAAGCCATAGTTCCACTGCGAGTAGACGCCGCAGGGGACAGGAGCCCTCACTCCCGTCCAGGTGATCGAGGGCAGAATGCCCTAGAGCATCTCCTCATCCCCGACGATGTCCCTCTTCTCGGCCAACACCTCCTAGAGCCCCTCCCCTCCCTCTTGTCCTCACGTCGCCTGGTCCGCGTCCTCCCGCTCGTCCGGGGGCCCGCCCCCTGGCTGCTGTGCTTCCCACGTCTTCGTCCTCCTCTGCCCCACCACGAGGATACAGGGA